TTTGGTATCATTATGTAATTATTATCATATAAGTAGTAGAATGACAAAAAACTTAACCTGTTATGAAGCCTTACTTTTTTCAATCTGGTAACTGCTGCATGCCTTTTATAACTAAAATCTGTCTTTATACTTTTGTATTACAACATGTTAATTGTTCTAATGTTTATTATCTAAACAGATACAGTAGTGGGGGCACATGATGCCCCCATTCGTTGTGTGGAGTACTGCCCGGAGGTAAATGTTATGGTAACTGGGAGCTGGGACAGATCAGTCCGACTGTGGGATCCACGAACGCCCTGCAATGCTGGCACCTTTACTCAACCTGAAAAGGTAGCAAAACAGAGTAGAGGGTACTTTATGGCTTTTTTCCCTTTAAACTTTTTCAGAGATCTCACTGGTTCTAAACCTACCTCTTTTCTAAAGGTCTACACCCTCTCTGTGGCTGGAGACAGGCTGATTGTGGGTACAGCAGGAAGACGAGTTTTGGTGTGGGATTTACGAAACATGGGCTACGTACAGCAAAGACGAGAGTCCAGCCTCAAGTATCAGACTCGCTGCATCAGAGCCTTCCCCAACAAACAGGTAAACCTTTTACATGGCAAGGAAAATCTGCAGGCGGTGTTGGATTTGATCAAGGCTTCACTCCTGAGTTATGCTATTAATTTAGTATTAAGAGAAAGGCTGAGTGTAATGTTTTCTTTTTTTATTTGTAATGGCTTCAGGGCTACGTGTTGAGTTCAATCGAAGGTCGTGTTGCTGTGGAGTACCTGGATCCGAGCCAGGAGGTTCAGAAGAAGAAATACGCCTTCAAGTGCCACAGGTTAAAGGAGGAGGGAATTGAACAGGTCTACCCTGTCAACGCCATTTCGTTTCATGGCTTCCACAACACCTTTGCAACAGGTACAATGAATTTCCAGTAATGTGCATGAAAACCTTTGGCTGTAAAGAACCTTTACAAGCAGGCTTTCAATTAGGAATATTTCATAGGGTTTACACCTTAGTGTATCGCATCTTTAGGTTAAAAAATTTTAAATTTAGACTCTAAAATGCTATTTCCTGCATTTTGAGGTGGAATTCAGCTACATTTTTTGCCTTTGTTACACTACTTTTTTCCTGATTATGGGAAGTATGTCCCCTTGACTATAGGTGGAAATTTCATACGGAAGACATTAGATCATTTTTAGGTTTGGTTAATTCAAGCAATCAGAAAATGTAATTTAAACTTACTGCAAAAGCTGAAACTTGATTGTTTCATGTATAATAAGTTGAAGACAGTCTACAAATACTACAACATAATCTGCAAACCAACAGAGGAGAAATTGTAGCCAGGACTGCTTTTATGTCTGTTTATCTACTCTGTTAAAAATACATCTGACACTGAAACGAATTATGAAACTTGATTGTCACATTTTGATTTATCTTAGTACTTATTTTGTAAATGTAAGCTCATGTGTTACACAAGCAGGTGTGTTGCGCTGAAGGGCATTTATAGCAGTTGTAAATGTCCAAAGGGGAAAAATAAGCCCACCGTTATCCACGAGCCACATCCATTTATTGATCTTTCTGAAAAAAAAATTCTAATTATTTTGAAGAATCATGAAAAAATTGTGGCATCTGTTTTGTAATTTATGACAGATTTAGTAAGGATCGCGCCCTCCTCCCCAGGTGTTATTTTTGTTGGCTTTTGTTTTTCCCCCCATTCTAGGGACAGTATTGTCTCAAAGAATAAAAACCCCTCCAACATAAACCTATAGTCATCAGGCATTCGATGGGTTTTTGTTAACTTTCAATCTTACCTGCTTCCAACAGTGCAGCCTGCATGTTCCCGCTAAAAAAGTTTTCCATAGGGACATTATGCTATAAAAGCTTCTGCTGCTTCATTTCTGATGCTTGTATACGTTGAGGTTAGACGCACCGCAAGAGCATCTCTGATGCTCCTGAAGAGCGTCCAGTAAAGTGTGTCCAGATGCATCTAATGCTTGGGCTGCTTTATTCAGTGGCAGACAGCGGCGTTCCTATATTTGCTGTGATAAGTGGCTGTGATAAGTGTTTTTAAGTGACAAAGTCCATCTAAAAACATATTCAGTTTAAGGTAGATTACGATACTGCCTTAAACAATTTTTTCCCTGTCGGAGTCTCGCGACGGTGCGCTGTCACTGGGAATTCCCAGCAGCAGCTGCCTCAGACCCAGTTGCTTCTTTGGGGGTTTAGGCTACTGTTCGTGATGGGTGGAAGTAGATCTTAGTGTTTTTCATGTACGCAAGGCCAACATGCAGGCACGAGAATAATAAGAAAATATATTTTGCTGGCAGCTTTCAACATTTTAAGTCAATAAACAGTTTCAGAGGAGTGATCATAGCAATCTGCATCAGCTTTTCTGATTGTTTTATGTGGCATGTTGAGAGCAAAAGTTAAATTTTTCCAACTCCAGCATCTGCTGCTTGTGAAGCACCTCATGCGCCTCAGATGTGTCAAGATGCGCTGCTGTTTAAGACACACTGCACGACTTGTTTAATTATTTTTTTAAAGGCATCTGAGAGGAAATGCTATTGAGTCTGGCTTCAATTCCCCACCTCAGTCATCATCTGATGGATCAGAAATTGAGCGAGGGGCCACAAATTTCCAAAGCAAGCAAATTTTTTATAGATCACATTTGTGTCGGGGTATGCAGGTTTCAGGTCCTGGGTTTTGGGTACGCAAGCTTTAAAAATTAGCCTTGCTGCTGAAGGAGAGACTCTGGTATGGCACCTGAATCTGGCCCTGCTAATATTACTCAGTTTAGTGTGGGCTAGGGGGAGATCATACAGGTGAAGATGGCGTGACTGGTTTATGCCTTTATCACAAAACAAGGTTGCTGTCTTCAGCTAAAACAGGATAGCAAACTGTTCTTAACATAAACTCAAAAAAAAAAAAAAAAAAAAGATGTTGGCCCCTATAGTTCTGGCTGTGGAATTTATCTCTAAAGGTAACCTATCCCCTAAAGGCAACACATTTGCATATTTTGCCTCAAACATCAAATAAACGTTAATAAATTAACTCAGCCTAAAATCGAAGCAAAACGTTTTTCAAAGGTCTTAAATTTAGCGTTTTTGTAACTATTTTGTTGTGTTTTAAGGTGATTTGATTTTAAAGCTTCCTATGACCTTTAATAAAGATCTAATCTCTGGTGTAACTCACTGTTAAACTTCTGAGGTTGACCTTGAGCCTCCTCTTGCCAGGTGGCTCCGACGGCTTTGTCAATATCTGGGATCCATTCAACAAAAAGCGCCTGTGTCAGTTCCACCGTTACCCTACCAGCATTGCTTCACTGGCTTTCAGCAATGATGGTACCATGCTGGCCATTGCCTCCTCCTACATGTTTGAGAAAGGAGACATCTCCCATCCAGAGGACGCTATCTTCATTCGTCAAGTAACAGATGCTGAGACAAAGCCCAAGTGAGCTCTTGATTTTTTTTTCTTTTCATTTTACAAAAGCACACTGGCAGTTTACACTCTCTTCAACTCAGGTGTGTTTTCAGATTGCATATTCAGCTGCATAACAGACTGGTCCATATTTCTTTTGATCCTTTTCAATATTAGAAAATTGAAAGACACATTAAAAGAGCTTCAGCTTTCCAGTTTGGAATACCTGTGGTTTTTGTAATTAAACGCCATAAGCAGATTAGCCAAAACCTGGTCGAAGTTGCAACCAACTACTTTGTATATTGTAATCTCCAGCCAAAATCCAGTGCACTTGGACTATTCCTCATTTTTGAAAGTGCAAAATATAAGAGAAACGCATAGATTGGTATCACTATGCATACCAAGCTTTGATTATACATGCATACATCAACATGTATATTTAGTTTATGTACTCATGAGTCCCGAATGGAGGATTGTGTCTAATGCAGTGTTCTGCAACCTTTACTATCAAGTTAGCTGTTTTTTGCACACAGCACAGCTGGAAAAAAATCTGCATGACTCTTTAGAAACAGTACAAGTGATGAGTAAAATAAAATTCAACCATTATTTTCGCTGTAGATACATTTTTTGGTGGTTTGTAGAAAATGAGCCGTTCCAAAAACTTAATACAAAAGTGGGAGAAGTTGCAAAAATAGCAATCGTGTTCAAACACTTATTTCCTCACTAGTTCAAATTATAAAAGTGTGCAAACACCTGAAGCATGTTAACTGATTGACATTTAGCTCCAAGCAATGGATGTTTAAATATTTCAATATCTAAGCTGGTAGAGATGAACTCTAAAGGACCTGTAGTTGTAAAATGTTGTCTCAGGGTTTACAAACAGTGTATACCTCTTTTAATAAACAAATTAAGTTTCAATTTATTTTCTGCTTTATACAGGATACATATAACGCCATATTTTTCTGTCCTTGAGCTAATTTTTCTTCTTTTTTTGCAGGTCAACCTAAAACTGGAGAATATCTCTCCCCTTGCCAGACTCCGTGATCCTCTGTGCTAATATTATTTCTGCTTTCCCTTCACAACTTTTTACATCTCTTTGTTTGCTGTTATTCCCGCAGTGTATATATATATGTTTTCTGTGTTTTCTTCTATTGTCCTGAGTTATGCTGTTATAAAAGATAACCTTCAACAGCCAACTGTGTATTTGACTGTAGAATGCTGTCACTTTAACAGGCTCCATATTTTCATATCGAGTAACTGCTGATGTGATTTGATAATAAAAGCTTTTTATTAACTTTTAGCATTAACTTCATTCTCCAAAGTTTTCACATACCAGTAGGAGAATATGAGACTTATTAGGAATGTGTCAAAGCAGAGACAAAGTGATCATTCACTGGTTATGCTAGGGGCTACACTTGCCCCCAGACGCTGACCTGTGCTGATAGACACCATAGCTTTGTTGTTCAAAGTACTTTCTGCTTTGTTACCGGGTAAACTGATGGAGAACCACCAAACCTGCATGCTGTCAATCATGGTTGCAAAAATCGAGAAAAAAATTACACTGAATCGGAAAGAATCTTAAAATATTTCTTCAAACTTTACGATTACAAGGATTGTGTTAAATGTCATAAATGCTTTTTTAAAGTTTCAATGGGCTAATTTCTCAGAATACATTTAAGCACAAAGATATTTTTATTGTGCAAGTTCTCTGCTTCGGCTTCCTCGAAATTAGTTTGATTTGGTGAAGATATAAAGCTAATTTCTGGATGTGAAATAAATCGGCCTTTTGCTTTCCGATTTTTGAATAAACCTTAAAATAAAGTTGCTTTAATTGTAGACCATTACAGTCAGAGGGGTTGTTCTTTGAGCGAAAGTAAATTATTGTCCGGCTGCTGTTCAGAGTTGAGTTCATATAAAACCTGTGAGTTCCTGCTTGTGAAAATTATCGTTTACTTTAGCCAATTAATGACTAATTAACCTTTAAATAATTTATTCTAGGACCTGTGGAAGAAGGTGCTCTGGTTAAATGAAACTACCATTAGATTTATCTAGTCAGCCAGTAGGACTTGAAATGGTGGACTGTTGATATTGGGCAGCACGGTAGTGGCAGCATGATGCTATGGAATGCTTTTCTTTAGCTGGGACAGGGAAGTTGTCTTAGACAATTCTAGATCTTTGGTAAAACTGAAAAATTGTGAGAGAGCCTCACTTCGCTGTCGGACTGAACCGGTATTATTTCATAAGAAACATAAAAAAACAAAAACGCCAGTGTCCAAATGTGAAAAATGGGTAGAAATTTGCCCCAAAATACAGAAGCAATGCCTATTTTGGAATATTTCTAAAAATTCATTCACTCTTCCTGATAAAATCATAATAAACTTAAATTCATACAATAGAAGTCGGGGATTATTAATCATTATACAGTTGAAACATTTTTCTGTATCCTCCGTATTGTACTCTGGGGTTTTTTTGTGTTTTTTTTTTTTTTCTTTCTCATGCTTGTGACATGAATCCCAATAACCACAGCAGTGGGTGGTTGAGCTCTGGTTTCCAGCAGCTGAAGTGTTGCAGACAGTTTGGCTCTACATGAAACCGTTACATGTCAATTAAAAAGGGGCGACTCCGCTGCATCGGCCTGTCAGGTGCATTTAACCTGACCACAAAGGGCTCTTATGTTCACTCAAGAGGCCACTGATGACCTTCAGTCAGACACTTAATCCCTCAAGACCGGTTTCTAATACGAAGGCGATGATACCATCCTTCATGAGCTGCTGTAAATTATGGGAAATCATGTGATACTTTGCGGCAGTATTGACAACATTGTCTTTAATTTCATTGCTTCAGACAGTTGAGAAAAAGCTAACAATTTACTGATTCATAGCGGGGGGGGGGGGAGATGAGTAATGTATTTCACACCATAAAATAATAGTTGCATTTTATGGTTTTCTGCAGAAAAAAAATGGAGAGACTCTAACTGTATATAAAACCATTAATTGATGCAATAAAGATTTCTAAATAGATATTATTAGAAATTTTGTAGATGGATAAAAAATGTTTTACAATATCAAACCAGTTTTGATATTAAAGGTATGTTTTCAGATTAAGCTTTCTTGTATGTAGTGAAAATCAGGTTAACCAGCAATTGATGCTTTTCACATATATGAAGGTTTTATTTAGCATGTTTTAAAATCAGCATCAGAATTGGATCAAATTTTTCGACTCTGACCAGATCACTGCAGCATAATTCCGGTGTGTTAATATGTGTCACAAACTGATGAATTTGTGCCACAACTTCCTGGTCCTGAAGCAGAAAATCAGCCTCCAATCATCCCACCCTGTTTGTTATAAGGTTTTTCTTCTGAAATGCTGTTAGTTTTTCCTTTTTTAGATCAAGGGTATGGTGGAGGATTTTCTAGATTTTTCTTTTTTAAAACACCCGCCCTCTTCAGCACTTGCACAACCCTGTACCCGCTCCCTAGAGGGAACGCCTATTAAACCCTTACGAGAGCATGCAGGAGCCCATTTCTCCTCGTGCACGCTCTATCTAAAAGTTGCTGTTTGCATCCCTCATACAAGTTTACTTCCCAAGAGAAGATTGCAATTTTTCCACTCTTTCAGAAATACCAGTACAGTAAGTAAAAATGGAGACAAGCATGTAGGACAGCCTTACTTAATCATATCACCACAAAGATTGATAATTAGGAGGACCACTTATTTAGATGATCCATCTGGAAAAAACATCCTTCACTATACCTTTAAGGCAGGATGTGCTTTTAGATTTTTTTTAACCAACCTCATCTTCTTTTAAGGGGTTTCTGTAACGGGTCTGGCATCAAACAGGCCTCGTGAAATAAACAGTAGAAATTACATTTACAAGTAATTTTGAATTTAACAAATGAAGCTTAAGGGTAAATTCAATCTGGACGACTTATCAGATTCACCTGAACCACCTGCGATGTCCCTTGTTCAGCTCCAGCCAATCAACTTTGGGGGGGTGCATCTTCTCTGAAGCCAATCATCTTGCAAGATCTCCTTCATTTAGCTCCTGGCCTACCTTCTCTATCTCGCATGGAAGTGAATTTTCACCCACCTCCACCCCATCTCCTCCTTCATTCTCAGCCTCACTCATCCTCTGGATTATTCCACCACCAGTGTCCGGGCCTCAGGGAAAGACTAATCCTTTTCTAGGTCTTCCCAGCATCGAATTTTTCTGCCGAGGTCCAAGCGCCAAAGAACTTATTTCATTTATGTCTTCATCTGCTTCTGTCTCGTTAAATCCCAGTCGGCCTCAGCAGATGGCCGCTCTTACTGAGCCTGGTTCTGCTGGAGGTTTCTTCCTGTTATAAGGGAGTTTTCCTCTCCACTGTCGCTACATGCTCAGTGCGAGGGATTGCAGAGGGTCAATGAGTTCTCACAATCAGCTGGTCTTCCTTAGATAGAAATATTTTTAAAAAATATGATTGTGTTGCCTGTATACATGTGTACATTTAATATTTTCTAAATACAACTTTTTTGTGTGAGTCCCTCCAGTTTGAAAGGAGATGATTACATTTTCAGAGCAAAATGGTTCAGATTTTTACCCTAATAAAATAAATTGCCATTTAAAGTATATACAGCCTCGTTTTTTAAATCTAAACTTTTCTAGATGTTCTAAGATATGTCAAAAATAAAATTAGGGGTAATTTTTTTTAAATGGAAAAAGGAAATGACTGGAATTAAATTTATCTAAACCTTTTGTGATTTGTCGCTTGTATTTATAATTGAAGGCAGATTTTGGTATATAAGTTAACTTAAAAATCACTGCATTATGTCACTTTTCCTTTCTCATTCAAAAGATGGGAAATGTGATCTATTCTTAGTTGTCTTTAGCTCCAGGTGTGAAATATCACATTCAAAATTGCCCATTTGCTCCTAAGTTAGCTCTGTTTATTACAGACCTGAGGTTTTAGGCATTGTCAATTTTATTTCCAAGCTTAGATAAGCTGTTTTGTTATTGAAGTAATAACAGAACTAAGCAATGTCCTATATTACTATAATAAACTACTTTGTTGAAATTTGTGTTGCTTTTTTCCTTCCTGACTGTAAGGACCAGAAATGAAAAAATTAACATGTTTCTCTTTGTGTCACAGATTTAATTTGGGTAAAATTGGAAATCTATTTTTTTTTCTTAACCAACAGCTTAGTGTTTCCAGTACATTGAAGCAGAGGACCAGGAAACCTGACCCTTTCATTTGGACATGGCTGTGGTCTGCCACAGGACCTCACTCCAAGCTGTCTCCTGCCCCAGGGAGGCTTTTAAAGAGGCTTGGTGGGCAAGACAACATCTTCTCAAGAGCATTGTAGTTACATTAGAGCCTAATTAGATGATAAAGCTCAAGGCCATGTAACCCACTGCTAGGTGTCACACTAACAGCCATCCATCTCTGTCCTGGCCCGTCAGACGGGCAGCACGGGTTGACTAGTGAAGGGTTTGCTCACCCGGCAGCTGGACTGCAGTAAATCACAAATCTCTCAGGCAAGAAAGTTGGATATATATTTAGTATTTGAGGGTTCATTTTAGCTCGGAGGCGGTTAGAAGGAAAGGAATCAGGTGATAAATGAGATGTATGGAATGAGTAGTTCTCCAAACCTTTGCAGAATTTTAAAACCCAGATTTTAGCTCGTTCTAAGCCGCATGCACTCATTTATTCTATTCAAAAAATGTGTTTTATGCTGAAACAGCACTGCGGGCATTAGTGGCATAGATAAATTATCAAACATATCAGTTCTAGTAAAACAACACACAAAGAAAACTCATTTAGAAAGGAATCTAAATAAGTCAGCATTTCATTGAAAGGTTGATGTATTTCAGTTTAAAGAGTCAGTTTTCATCCAGTTATTTTTGTATTCTTTATTAATGCCACACAGAAGATGAAAACCTAAAATTAACATAGACAAATGAAAGGACTTTTAAAATATAAAATGTTATGATTGTGTCAGCATACATTATACTAGCAAGACCGCTAACTTGGCAGCTTTCCCACATGGAGGGAAAACTACGAAGGCTTAAAAGCGTCAGAAGGACATATTCAATTGTGTGGCGGAAAATTGAGTGGAAGGAAAAAAAATCAGTTTTTTGGAAGATCAACAAAATGTCAGCTGTGGCTGGAATCAATATTTAGATGACAATATTCAAAAATACAGGAAATTGACTCTATCTGTGACATTCCTTGTGTTAAGTGGCTCCTAAACCAGATATAAAGGTCAGAAGTGTCCTTTCTGGACTAAGGAAAAAAAGGGACTAGGCTGCTGTTTAGTAGTTTAAATTGTTCTTCTCGTATAACATATTGAGATTTTTTTTCTGGGTCTCTGTTTTTTCTAGACAAAGTGACTTTGATTTCTAGATTGAATAAAAGCAACTTTAGCTGAATTTCACTTCATGAAAATCTTCTCTAAACCTCTGATTAGGCCAGGGGCGGATCTAGAGGGGGAG